TTTTTGCAGCCAGGCTTTGATCCTCCAAAATTTGTGGTTTTACTCTACTTCTTTACCCATGATTCAGCTAATCATCCCATTATCTCTTTGATTTTACCCGAGTAGGGTAATATTAAGGAATATCCTCGATCCCCTTGGCAATATGAAAGCTGTAGTGGAACCAAAGGATGTTAGTTGTGTCCACAAAAAACTGTGATGTTCTCCCCACCTAATATCAACGAATTAGCCACCCTGCATCTTAATTTGGGCTGCAAACTGGGTTCCTCTGAATAAAGGAGAGATTTATGGAGATAGCACTGTTTTCATTATGGATACGGGACACACAAGTATCTGAATGGAGGCCTGTGGATTTTGGAGTGAGTTTGTGGCATTGCAATAATGTGAACTATTTTACCTAGAGTTCAAGACAGAATTTACGATATGACTCTGTAGATTAGCTGCCTTCAGTATAGCTAACCCCCTTTTAAAGTCATACCTTTGACACTCTGTGTCCAAATCAGTTTTTTGAAATCATAGTGTCTTTATCTTTTGCACAGTTTCGTGAGATCCTGTTGCTTTAGGAAAGAAAGTATAATCCAGTTTGTCAGCAAAGGGTAAGTAGGAGAGTATAATGCTTAGACAGCGTAACGGGATGTGGCGGAAGTTTAATAAAATCATTTTCATATTGTTGCCTTCTCACGAATTCATGGGGCTTCTGCTTCCTTGGAGCAGAAGTTTTAGAGCACAGTGGGGGCTGTCAGATATACTTACAGCAATGTGCAGTTGAAAGACTCACATAGATAGTCATAGCTGGAGAGAAATATTTTCCCATGTGTTTTTGTTGGAAGGAATCCTGCCACACATGGCCAGCTTCCTTTCATAGCTATTTACTGAGAATTTGGAGTTTTCAGAGGCTGATACTTGCCTTAGAGGCTGCTTTTACACGAATATGGAGGAATGCAGTTTGACGTCATTGCAGGAGTGGAGGCTGGGTCTGGCAGGTTAAGTGTAAATTCTTCTCTGCCCTTTACCAGCTTTTTGATCATGGGCATGTCACTTACCCCCGTGAGCCTTAAATATGCTCATATGAGAAATGAGACTCATAAAATCTTTCTAAAGATGAGTTGGTGTGCCGATGGGCAATGGTTCCTGTTTTCTACCACTGTCCTGCCCAGAGTGACAACTATTAGCCACATGTGGCTATGCAAATTTAAATTAATTAGGATGAAAGGAGAGAAAAGCTTCAGTTCCTCTTGCACTTGCCTTATTTCAGGTTCTTAGTATCCACGTGCACTGGCGGCCACTGTCTTGACAGGCAGTGCAGGAGAACATCTCCATCATCACACAAAGTTGCATAGGACAGTGCTGTTAAGTTTTGCTAATCACAGAAGAATGAAAAAAGAGCAAGCAGATAAGGAAGCCTTAAGTTCCCAGTGGGCAGGCTGTGCTCTGTGACTGGGGATACAGATGTCACAGAAGACATGGCCTGCCGTCCCTGGCCGGATTTAAGAGTGAGCTCTCACTAAGGATGGACGGGAGATACAGTCGGGGTGTCGCCCTCTGAATACTCTGCTGATTTTGCAATCTGTCTGCCTCCTCTTTGATCCTGCTCAGAAATATGCTGAGAGCCAGTCTGTTTTATAACTTATCTGATGTTCCTAAATATTAGCAGAATGATGTTGCTCACATCTCAATCTGTCGGCCATAAGAATTTCTAAAAATCAATGAGTTATTTTCTGTTATTGAGAAGTGTTCTCCAAATACGTGTTCTAAGGTCACGTAGAAAAAAAAAAAAAAAAAAAAAACTATTGACTTCTTGTCTCACCACCTCATCATGTCCAGACACTAACCTCTCATGTTCATTACTGGACAAAAAGAACCCATTGCAGAGCTGGTCGGTGAGATCAGGATGTTTCTGTGTGCACAGCGCTGGGCTCTGCCCAGGTACAGCGATCAGCAGGGTGCTTTCTATCAGAGGAGAGCAGTATTCTGACGCCCTGCTTTCCTCATTAGCACAGGGCTCCACCTGTGGGGAAGACATTGCAGGTGAAGCAAGATGAGGCCCTTTGCTTTATGGATGTGCTCTTCTGGAAAGGAAAATGGTGTCACATTTAATTACTGATGTTTCTAAACCCGCTGCATATGTTTTCCTTATATGTGTTGTGAATCTGCACGTGTGAAATAGAGGGACTTTAAAAGTTGACTGTTTTGAACACAAAAGACATGTCTTTCTATGGAAATAAATGGTAGTTAGATTCCCAGGGGAACACACCTTGAACCCTTTAAATGTCATGTCATTGGTGGTATTAGGAGACTTGTTCCTGGTGCCTGAATTCATCATACAGGAGAAAGGTGGAGAAAATGGAAGGGGAAAGTCATCCATTAAGTAGGTATTAATTAAGCCCCTCTATGTGCCAAGCATGATGCTGAGCCCAGGCTCAGCCCAGTGGTGAGGAAACCAGGCAAAGAACTCATGGTGCACCGAGTGACAGACATTACATAGGTGTGCCTTCCCTAAATAAAATAAAATTACAAACTGGGCAATGAAGGAAGAGAACAGGATGCATCAAGGGCTGGGAAGTGTGTGCTTTTCCCATTGTGTTCCTGCTCTTAGCCTAGCGCATAGGAGGTACAAGAAGTAATTATTTGGAAAATGAATGTTTTAGCTTAGAACTTGAGAAGTTCTCAAGTTTAACATGTGTCAGAATCACCCAGAGAGGGCTTATGTATTAGATATCTAATGATGTGAGGCAAATTACCCCAAAACTTAGCTACTGGACAGAACAATAAGCATTTGTTATCTTGTACAGTTTCTGTGGTCAGTATTATAGGAGCAGATTGGCTGGCTGGCTTACCTTGGTATCTTTCATGAGATTGCATTGAGCTGTCTGGACTTGGCTTGGCTGATCTGTTTTCTAGATGGTTCACTCACAAGATGGCTGTTGACTGGAGGCCTCAGTTCCTTACCACACCTCTCTATAGGTCTACTTGAATGCTCTTACAACACGGCAGCCAGCTTCCCTATAGCAGGCAATCCAAGGAAGAGAGCAAGAAGGAGGTCTCAGTACTTTTTATGGTGTCATAAACTATCTATCCCCTTGGCTACATTCTATTTGTTACACAAGTCAGTCCCATTGTTGTGGGATGGAACTACCCAAAG